AAATTAAAACACATATTTGCAACATATGTAACTGACAAAGAATAAAGAGTTTCTAGAAAGACAACTCAGAAAAATAAACATTCAATATGTAAATTCACAGAAGAAATTCAAATAGGCAATAAACATTAGAAATATGTTCAATTTCTCTAGAAATTATAAAAGTGCAAACTAAAACAAGAGTGAGATACCATTTTATACCATCAAACTGGCAAAAATTTAAAATATTGATAATATCCACTGTTCATGAGGGTTTGGGGAAAGGAACAATCTCAAGCATACTTCACGAGAAAAACCAATTAGCAAAGCCCTTTTGGAAAGCAATTTAACAGTATCTTTCAAAGTTAAAATTTTTTTTTTTTTAATTTTTTGTTTATTGCAGTAACATTGGTTTATAACATTGTAAAAATTTCAGGTGTACATCATTGTACTTCTATTTCTGCATAGATTACATCATGTTCACCACCCAAATACTAATTACAACCCATCACCACACACATGTACCGAATTATCCCTTTCACCCTCCTCCCTCCCCCCTTCCCCTCTGGTAACCACCAATCCAATCTCTGTTAGGGGTGTATTTTTTAAGCTTGGGTCTCATCACAAGATCATGTGTTAAGCTTCTTTTCATTGTCAGGGTAGAGGAATAGCATTCATACAACTGTAAACTTAATCATAACCATTAACTAAGTTAACATCTCCATATTCAGCTCATTAATAATTAGTGTGTGTGATTGAAGCCATGTTTTAGTTTTACAAAAAACATCACTACTTATATTTTGGACTAATCTTATTATTATTATATCAATGCTTGACATTTGTGAAGTATTTGTTTAACAAAATAATATGTGCAGTATGATTCAAATTTTGTTAAATATATGTGAGATGTATGTGTAGGGATAGGAAAAAAAGGACTATAAGCAATGTAACAAAATGTTAATTATGTTTATCTCTGAGTAGTGAGACCTGTTAGGCTTTTAAAAAAGTATTTTTATTTTTTTGAGCAGTGAATATGTAATCAGTAAAAAATGTGTGACCCTACTGTGTAGACATACACACACATATGTATACAAATTATGATTTTAAAACAGTATTTAAAAAAACAAACCAAACAATTTTCTGATAAATTCTTAATGAGCCATCTAAATCTTTGCAGAGCAAGAGGTATTTATTCCTCAATTGCAGAGGGAAAAACCTCTTAGATACAGTTGTCAGAAAATGGAAAGTTAGCCCTTAAAATTTATAATCTGCTTTTGGCATACAATGGCATTTGAGGTGATACTTAATAATTATGGAAGTCTCTTCCATAATGATTATGGAATATAGAAAATTGAGGGGAAAAGCTTATCAGAATCAAAGCGGGACTACAGGTTATCTTCTAGAACACTGGCAAGCAAGGTTTTTGTTAATTTGCTTTTTGCTTACTGACTTTTTTTCTCCCCATGGGATTGTCTTCTGGCATATTTTTTTTCTTTCACAATGAAATTAGCTTTATTTCAGTCCGTGAGAAGAATATAGCTTCTTACAACTTAGACTGCCTGCTTTGCCTGCTCTATGGAATTAACAATGTCAGTGAAAGCACAGTACTGTTTTTAGCTACTAAAATATCAATATCTGAGCATATTTGAGCAACATAGAGACAACTTTCCAAACTATCATCTGTTATATTTGTTTTGGGGTTCACAAATGGCACTCATATGCCTTAACCTGTTTCATTCTCAAATACTTGAGGTTGAAGATATTCCCATTTTTTAAGTAGGAGAACAATGGAGACTTATGCAACACCATGAGTTAGTCAGAGTTGGAGTTAGAATGAGTTTATTCCATTGTTGGCTACCTTGTTTGAGTACCTTTGATTGCCCAGTACTTTCTAGAGGCTGGAGGTTAGAGGGTTGAATAGGATGCAGTTTCCACACTTTTGTCCCCCTGAGCCTCCCTGCTCCGTGGTTGTCAGTGCTCCTCTCTTTTGGGCTTAACTGAGTTGGGGAAGCCATGCGATCTGGAGCATAATTAAAACCAACAGTGTCCTGGAAAGGGCAGCCACAGGGCACTCTGAATTCTGGTTTCCAGACACTCAACCTGAGTTGGGCTTCAGCCCCACCCAGCTGGGCCACTCTTTGCTGCACCTCTCCTGAGACTATAGCCTCCTTCAAACAACATCTCTGTCTACGTGGCCTTCACTGCCTGACCAGAGGCCAAATGTCACAGGACATATGATTCCTCATCTTTAATCCTAATCTTTCTGCTTCTGTATGAACTCAGAGGCTAGATTTGAAATTAGGCGTTGGCAGTATTAGAAAATTAGGTAACCGTGCTGCTACCTGCAAGCAAGAGACTACTTCCCACCATTTTTGGGCATCTGTTACTAGGTAACCAGAGGTTAGTTGCACTGAAAATAGATGAGGTGCTCTCAGAGGCTTTTGAGTACTGAGGAAAGCTGCTAATCCTGTTTCCCTACAAACTCTTTAAGCAGCCTGTCTTGAATTTTCCCAACAAGTACCAGGAAGCTAATCATCAGAACCAGTATTACAGGTGAAAAAGGAAGCTCAGGGATGTAGTATGTCTGGTATAACTGGTAGTTAGATGCTTTCCCAATAATTCAGCAGTTGACATTTTAGTTGGAGAGGCCCTCTTTGGGACTTGAGGTTGTTTCCAGTAACTTCCTTTTCCAACTAAGTTAAGGTGAGTTTATAGCTCTTGATCATGCTAAACATTCTCTCTAGCACTCATTGCCATCATGTCTAAGTATCTTTGAGGGAGGAAATAAATCTGAGATATACTAAAGATCGTTTTTTCACTGCCACTGTTAGCCTAGCTCTATTTTCTGATAACTAGCTTGTGATCTAAAGCTGAGCCAACTTAGTCCCACTGTGAAAATGCCTGGTATATGAATTAATATATTATTTTATTTAACATGTTTCTGTTTAAAGGGGAGGGGAGAAGGGAAGAAAAAAATCATATATGTACATATATATAAAATTATATATATATAGTGAAAGAGAAATGAAACTAGAATTCATTCATTCATTCAGTAAATTTTAATTGAGTACCTCCTACATTCTGGATGTTAGTCTTGTCACTGTGGCTACAGTAATGAACAAGACAGACAAGGTCCCTTTCCTTAGGTGGAAAACAGATATAAAACTGAAAAATGACTTGGTGGAAAATTATTTGATGGGCTGGAGGGAAGAATTTAAGTGCTCAGAAAAGATCTCACTCAGATCTTACATTTGAGATAAAATCTAGATCACCAAAGTTGCTATTCTTATGATCTGGGAGAAGAATATTCCAGGCAGAGGGAACAGCAAGGGCAGTAGCCTTCAGTTAGAAATGAACTTGGTGTGTACAAAAAACAGAAAGAAGGCTAGTGTGCCTGAAGCTTGAGAACAATGAGAGAGACTTGGTTCAAGACAAGACTGGAGGGGAAGGCAGAGGCCCCAGTTCATGAAAGGTCTTGTGGGCAATGGTAAAGAGTTTGGATTTTATTCTGAGCACAGTAGGAAACACTGAAGGGCTTTATACAGGAGAGCAACGTGATCTGAAAGAGTATCATCTGGCTGCTGTAAGGAGAGTAGATTGTGGGGAGCAAGAGCAGAAACAGGGAGACCAGTTAGGGGGTTACAGCAGTAGCTCACTGAGAGGGCAATGGTGTGGACCCGGGTGGTGATGACAACAACTCAGGCCCTGTTATGAGCAAGAGTTTCTCAGACTTCCTTGTACTCCTTTAATGCAGTCTTTAAGGCCAATCAGCTTTACATTTGAATTTAAATAAGGTAATATTTTAAACTAGCACATAATTCTATGAATTCTAGCCAACGTTTTTTTTTTTTTTCAGTTTATTACTGAAGTTTTAAACAATTAAGTACTGATTCTTAAAGCATCTGATTTCTTTTTGGCTTACTTCTGTGTACCCAGTCTGCCTGAATCTATAATTTGTATCATGGTGCTTGCCAAAGATTGCTTATAGTTTTTTATTAAAATATTTATTGTCTTTCTTATTACAAAATCTTTACTGCAGAAAATACAGCAAAATATAAAAAAACAAACCATGATTCCGCTATCCAGAGAGATATTTTATTTTATTTCCTTTCAGTCTTTTTTCTGTGCATGCATATATTTATTTCTAAGTGGTTGCTATTTCTTAAAGAAGTAAATTTTGCAAACAGTGGTTTTCGGAAGAAGTTCAGTACTTAAGTGGTTTGCTTCATTTCCTTTTTCACAGCCTTCTTTAAGGTGTGAGATCAATTTATTTTGTTCACTTGAGCTGCTGCTGTCATTAGTTGAAAAGCCATCCTCCCACTAGGTGTTTATTATGTAACTGATGTGCTTTGATTGCATTGTCTATGTCCTAAGCCAGCTTTGTAATACTATCCTAGGGGCCGGCCCTGTGGCGCAAGCGGTTAAGTGCGCGCACTCCGCTGCGGGGGCCAGGGGATGGCCAGTTTGGATCCTGGGCACGCACCAACACACTGCTTGGCAAGCCATGCTGTGGCGGCCTCCCATATAAAGTGGAGGAAGATGGGCACCCATGTTAGCGCAGGGCCAGTCTTCCTCAGCAAAAAAAGAGGAGGATTGGCAGATGTTAGCACAGGGCTAATCTCATCACACACACACAAAAATAATAATATCTTACAAATGCCCATCAAGCTGAAGTCACAGATTAGTCCCAGAGTTAAAATTTTTTCCTTTTCTGGCATTTGTTTTTCTTTTTCTCAGAGCTGTAACTTGGTTAGCTTTTCAAGGATCCACCATTCTAATCTGCAGGTAATATAAATAAAATATGTTAGCCTGTTCATTAATTCTTATGTTGCTTCCTCTAGGATTTATGGTGACTTAATTCAGCTTATAGTGAAGAGGTTAGAAATCTCTCCCTAAAAATTTTTGGAACTAACCTAGATCTTACCTATAAAAGTGCATTCAGGAAAACAGAAATTGTTTTTTCAATGTGTTTGTCCCGAATGCAGGCTAAAATATAGTGATGATTCTTGGTGATTATTTTGCAGACCTCAAAGGAAGATCTTCTGCAGGCTGATTTTGAAGGTGCTTTAAAGTTCTTCAGAGTTCAGCTTCCGAAGAGATACAGGGCAGAGGAAAATGCAAGAAGATTAATGGAGCAGGCTTGCAATATTAAGGTAAGATACATGAATTTATGTATAATAAAGGTGGAACTTGAATGCAGAATAACATGGCAAATTACGTAAAACCCTTTCTCTATGTGTTGCTGGATTTTGACGATGTTTAAGGTAACATTATGTATGAACTCGTCTTTCTCAGACTTTTTTGTCAGGCTGGTATGTATGTAGTAGCTGTACCTTCTAGTGGGATTTAGAGTGAAAGTTGGCGGGTTCAGATTGTAGCAAATAGGAAGACAAATATTTATTTTATAGGTGGAGCTGTAGAATGGGCTGCTGTGATAGTGGTTTCCATGGCAGCAGACTTAGTCTTTAGCTTTTGCCTTCTGTCTTAAGATTATTTAGGACAAAGCAAGAAAAGCCTGCTTAGGCAGTGCTTTCCTTTCTCTAAGGCACTTGCAAAGCTTTGAGTCTTGATCTGCCCATTCCCATCCCACACATACCAAATGTCTGGATATATTGCTCCTTGTCATATGTCTGATAAAGCTAAACAAGTTTTATAAAATAACTTGAAATAGAAATCTCTATCCAGAAAGTTGTGCTATCAATATGAGAGAGCACATTTTTAAAAAATTTGGAACCAATTTACTGCTGTTAATTCTTGTACGTCTGGAATACACTAGGGAATCTTCTTACCTACCCAGGACATAAATATAAATTTCTTTTCTGAACAAAGAGCCCAAGTCTTATGGACCTTACATTCTTGCAGAAGGAAACAGACAATAAACAATTAACATAATAAATAAAGAATATATTTAATATGTTAGAAGGTGATAAATAGCTTTGAAAAAAGGAAAAGTAGGACAGAATGAGCAAGATTGGATTGGTGAGGAGAGGAAAAATTACAGTTGTTATTAGATAGTCAGAGTAGACCTCATTGAGAAGGTGAAGGAGATGGGTTAGTCATGGAAGTGTCTAGGAGAAGAGCGATCCAGCAGAGGCAACAGCTAGTTCAAAGTCCCTGAGACTGGCTCATGCCTGGTGCGTTTGAGGAACAGCAAAAAGGCCAAGGTAGCTGGAGTGAAGTGAATGAAAATGAGAGTACTAGGAGAGGAAGTTAGAGAGCTCACAAGGAGCCAGAAAATGTAGACCATTATAAGGATTTAGGCTTTACTTTGAGTGAAGTGGGTAGCCCTTGCAGGGTTTTGACTGGAAGAGCGATATGCTCTGAGGTTTTAGAGGGTCACAATGCCTGCTGTGTTGAGGACAGACTGCGGCGAAAGTAGAAGTAGGGAGAGCAGACGGGGTTTTTCAGTGATCTTGTTGAGAAATGATGATGGATTGAACCAGGGCGAGAACAGAGGGGATAGAGATGGAGTGGAGATGGAGGTGGTTGCAACCTGCGTATGTTTTGAAAGAGAACCAACAGTATTTCATGATATATTAAAGATGGGTGTGAGAGGAAAAGAGGAGTCAAGATGATTCCACAGATTTTGGACTAAGCAATTAGAAGATAGAGTTGCCATTGACTTATTAAGCTCATCACTTAAAATGTACTTTGACATAGACTTCATTTAAGACCATACCCACTGTAACACTTCTTTTGTGTAACACTTTTGTTTTGAATTTTAACTTATGTTAAAGTAAATTCTGAATGTTAAAAAGTACAATTCAACATTGAAAGTAAATAACTGAGCAGAAAAAAATTATATTGTCTTTCAAATGAATTCTATATTTAAAGAGATCATTTTCCAAAGATATTAAGAAAGATAGATCTCTGAAGTCTTCATCCTGAAATGCAAACTTTTAAAGCCTTCAGGACTGGTTATTTCATTTGGCTGGGCCAGATGACTAAGCATAAGCCGCATTTGTCTATAGACCTTGAAAGTACATTCCAGTGGTCATGGTGGCTTTGAATTTTGTGGGTGGTAAGTTTGAAAGGGAGGCTTCAGCCAGCTGATTGTTCCAGAGCTGTCAGAGAAAAGTACTGTAAACTGGGGCAGTGCTTTAAGAATCTGTTAAAATAAAACATTCATTTCTAAGAATAAAAGAGTAGAGAGTTAAGAGGTACAGGTAAAGTGGAAAGTTAAATGTTTTCAAGGGAAATCTAGTAGCATTGGAAAATCATTGAGAATGAAAAACCCAGGAAAATGATCCCAAAATGTGAAACTTACAAGGGAAGATTTTTTTCCCCAGTATAGTTTATGAAGTTCCTCAGAGGATGGAGATGACTAACAATTGTCAAGCTGGAAACATGGGATCTGAGAGAGAGAGAAACAGAAAGTGTTAGAATACAGGTTCAAAATATGATCTGAATGGACTCTTCCTGGAATGAAAATGCCATGTGCAACCAGAATGATTTATTTGGACATGAACAGATAGATATGAATATGTTTTTTAAAAAGTAATAATAGAGTTGTTATTTTGTTTTTGTTTTTGTTTTTTAATTTGTAGGGGTTTTTTGGTTCTTTTTTTGCATTATCTAAGGAGAGTACCTTTTTCTTAGATATTTAAGCAGTACCCACAGGACACCATTTTTTTTCATTAAGATATAAATGACATAATATTATGTTAGTTTCAGGTGTACAACATAATGATTCGAGATTTGTATATATTGCAAAATGATCACCATACTAAGTCCAGTTAACATCCGTCACCATATATAGTTACAAATTTTTTTTTTCTTGCGGTGAGAACTTTCAAGATCCACTCTCCTAGCTACATTCAAATATGTAATATAGTATTATTAACTATAGTCACCATGCTGTATATTACATCTCCATGACTTATTCATTTTATAACTGGAAATTTGTACCTTTTGAACCCCTGCACCCATTTCACTTACCTCCCACCACCCCCCACCTCAGGCAATCACCAATCTGTTCTCTATATCCATGAGCTCAGTATTTTTGTTTACTGGTTTGTTTGTTTTTAATATTCCACATATAAGTGGGGTCATACGGTATTTATCTTTTTCTGTCTGACTTATTTCACTTAGCCTAACACCCTCAAGGTCCATCCATGTTGTCGCAAATGGCAAGATTTCATTTCGTTTCATAGCTGGATAATATTCCATTGTGTGTATGTACCACATGTTTTTTTATCCATCGATGGCATTTAGGTTGTTTCCATGTCTTGGCTATTGAAAATAATGCTGCAGTGAACATGGGACTGCGTATATCTTTTCGAGTTAGTGTTTTTGTTTTCTTGGATAAATACCCAGAAGTGGAATTGCTGGATCATATGGTAGTTTTATTTTTAATTTTTTAAGGAACCTCCATACTGTTTTCCATAGTGGCTGCACCAATTTACATTCCCACCAATAGTGCAGAAAGGTTCCCATTTCTCTACATCCTTGCCAACGCTTGTTACTTCTTGTGTTTTTGATAATAGCCACTCTAACAGGTGTGAGGTGATATCTGATTGTGGTTTTGATTACATTTCCCTGATGGTTAGTGATGTTGAGCACCATGTACCTGTTGGCCATTTGTATCTCTTCTTCGGAAAAATGTTTGTTCAGATCCTCTGCCCATTTTGTAATCAAGTTGTTTTTTTGTTATTGAGTTGTAGGAGTTCTTTATATATCCTGGATGTTAACACCTTATCAGATATATGATTTGCCAATATCTTCTCCCATTCAGTAGGTTGCCTTTTCATTTTGTTGATGGTTTGCTTTGCTGTACAGAAGCTTTTTAGTTTGATGTAGTCCCGCTTGTTTATTTTTGCTTTTGTTGCCTTTGCTTTTGGTGTTAAATCCAAAAAGTCATCACCAAGACTGATGTTAGCAAGGTTACTGCCTATGTTTTCTTCTAAGAGTTTTATGGTTTCAAGTCTTATGTTCAAGTCTTTAATCCATTTTGAGTTAATTTTTGTGTATGGTGTAAGATAGTGGTCCACTTTCATTCTTTTGCGTGTTGCTATCCGGTTTTCCCAACACCATTTATTGAAGACACTATTTTTCCCCTTTATATATTCTTGGCTCCTTTGTTGCAAATTAATTGACCGTATATGCGTGGGTTTATTTCTGGGCTCTCTGTTCTGTTCCACTGATCTATGTGTCTGTTTTTATGCCGCTACTATACTGTTTTGGTTATTGTGGGTTTGTAATATAGTTTGAAATGAGGGAGCGTGATGCCTCCAGCTTTGTTTTTTTTTTTTTCCAGGATTGTTCAGCTATTCAGAGTCTTTTGTGGTTCCGTACAAATTTTAGGATTGTTCACTCTATTTCTGTGAAAAATGCCATTGGAATTTTGATAGGGATTGCATTGAATCTGTAGATGGCTTTGGGTAGTAGACATTTTAACAATATTAATTCTTCCACTCTGTGAGCATGGAATATCTTTCCATTTATTTGTGTCTTCTTCAATTTTTTTCATTAATGTGTTATTATTTTTAGTATACAAATCTTTCACCTCTTTGGTTAAATTTATTCCAAGGTATTTTATTCCTTTTGATGCAACTGTAAATGGGATTATTTTGTTAATTTCTCTTTCTGATAGTTTGTTATTAGTGTACAGAAACACAACAGATTTTTGTGTATTGCTTTCGTATCACAGGACACCGTTTTAATTTATAACATGATTGAGGCAGATGTGAGGTGAAATTGAGAGAAGGAAGACATGAGGGGTACAGTATTCGGGGGTTGTGCTGGGACTGGAACATAGGTCTCCAAACTAAAGGTTTAAAGTTGTTTTTAAACCAAGACCTACATTTTAAAATAACTTTTATATCAAGACCTTGACCATACATACACATATACACATATATATATCTGAAGACATACTTACCCTTGCAATGTATGATGCACTCTAATGTTTTCTCTTCTTCTGTATTGTATTCTAATTCATTTTAAACCTCTCCTCTCCCTGCAAGAAAATTCCTCAAACTGAAAAGCTAGTCACAACCCACTAAATAGGTTTCACAATGCTTGCAGTTTTGAAAAAACTCTAAGACCTATGCCACTGTTCACTGCACCTCCCCCTTCCCCATCCTGATATACTGCAACCTGTGAGAGGTTGTGGAGGATGAGGTGTTACACTGAATAATGGAAGTGGGAATGT